CCAATGAACCAACCAACCAAGAACTAAGGATTCTAAGGATTACAAGGATCAACTGGATCAACCAATCAACCAACCAATCAACCCACCAGGGACCCACCAGGCAAGCAAAACAAGCCAACAAATAACAAACACAAACAACCAAGCAAACAAACAAACAAATCAAGTTACAAAACATTAATAGAATAGGTAGGTGATGATAACAGTTCAATCATCCTCACCATAACACATAGCAACAACAGTAGCAACCACAACGACAACCACAACACCATCAGTGACATCAATCACCAAGGCAACAGCAACAACAACCACTCAGCACAACCGCGGACTGCAGCAACAACACGGACCAACAACAACAACAATACGACACCAACAACAAACACAACCATGAGATAGCATAAGACAATAAACAAACCAAAACATCACACGAGGTGGCAGCAATGTAAATAGTAACAAACATGACAGGGCATCACATGGCGTGAGCATGAAGCATGAGCATGAGGCTAACATGAGGAGTGGTTGTTGATGTGATTTGTTGATTCTAATTGTTGTTGTGATTGAAATTGTGTGCGCGTGTGTGTGTGTGTGTGTTGCACTGGTTGGTGTTGTTGTGATTGTACTGTGAGTGCCAGATATGTTCAGTTGTTGTTGCTGATGCTGCTATGCTGGTGACACTGTTGGTTTGTGATGCTATGTGCCGTGTTTTGGTGTTTCAGTTTGCTCTTGGTGATGTTGTTGTTGCTGCGCTGCTGTCGTTGGTATCGTTGGTGCTATTGTAGATGAGATGAGTTGATTCGACGACGACGATGATTGTGATGGTGACGGTGATGAGATATCGTTGGTGTTGCTGTTGACATTACTACTATTGTTGAGGTTTATGTTGATGTTGCTGGTGTTGTTGGTCGGTGGGTGGATTTTTTGGTTGTGGTGATGTTGGTGTTGTTGTTGTTGTTGGTGGTGGTGACGTGTTGTTGTGCGCTGCTCATGAGCACATGCACTCGTGGTCATGTTGAGCATGTTGCATATGCCGAACATGAACATGTCGCACATGCTGAAAAGGAGCAACATGCGGAACATGAGCACATGCGCTCTCATGCATAAACATGTTGCACATGCGAAACATGAGCACATGCACTCCCGAGCCCTCCCCCCAGCCCATCCCCAAACATGTTGCACATGCGAAACATGAGCACATGCACTCCCAAGCCCTCCCCCCAGCCCATCCCCAAACATGTTGCACATGCGGAACATGAGCACATGCACTCCCAAGCCCTCCCCCCAGCCCATCCCCAAACATGTTGCACATGCGGAACATGAGCACATGCACTCCCGAGCCCCTTCCCCCAGCCCATCCCCAAACCCGCGGCGACCCGAGGGGGGGATGCACTCCCGAGCCTCCCTGCTTCCCCAACCTATCCCCAAACCCGCGGGGACCTGGGGGGGGTAGGGGTCCCCACCAACCCCGGCTTCAACCAACAGCGCAAACTGGAACCTACAAATACATACCTACATACTTATATTTACTTGCATGCAAACATGCATACATACGTACGTACATATATATATATATATGTATATATGTATATATGCATATATAATTATACGTATGTACATACATGCATGCATAAAAAAGACATGCACATGAACATGAATGCATGCATGCTCACGAACACACAGACGCAAAGACGTACACCCATCCATACATCAGACATAAACACATATATGTAGACCTGCATGCATAAGCACAACCATGCATGCAGAAGTTGGTGCGCATTCTATGTGCGCGACCTATGTTCGTATATTATGTATATACACATGACACACATCCAACATATACGGAGCGCCTACACAAAGGTGAGTTGGTGGGTTTTATATTGTTGGCCGTATGTAAGACCCGAAGCTTTCGACTACAGCTCCATCTTCAAGCTTGATAGTGTCTGAGGGTTGACGAGTCTAAGCTTCCGGGATGCGGGACGTAGCGTTCTAAGTTCTGCAGACTCTAGCTTTAATGTTACTCTAAAATCAGAAACTTTATACATATATATATGTATATGTATGTATATATCTCACCGCAATAGGCTTAGTCTTGAGTCACCTAGCTCCGATGTTGGAAATTTCACAGGCTCTGTAGGACTCTCTGAAAGGGAGCCATCGTCGGGAACGCATTGCAGATCAAGGAATGTCATGCTACCGGGTGCATGTTTTTTTTTGGGAGACGTCTTTGGCGGCGAGCCCGTCACAAAAAATCATGCCTGCTGCTGCACCAGATCGAGGCAATGAACCTAAACTGAAATGCAGGGTCTTGGTTAAGTAGCAACACCCTGTCCCTTAGTCATCAGTGGAATATCACTGATACTACTGGCAAGGCTCGTAAGGCTGTAAGGCCAGGTAGGTATCAGTCTGCATTACAGCTTGCTGGTCCGCCCGGAACCAACGGAGCCATGTCATGTAGCGTAGCGACCTTCGGCCGATGGAACCGAAAACCCTAACAAAGAAAACCTTCAACCTTGCACCGCAAACCGCAAACCGCAGAGTGCACCGTGTACCGATAGAGACGTAGATAAACAGTAGATCGACACGAACAGACATTTGCTGCAGTATACACATATGTAGACATATAAGCCTATATATAGTAGAGCGAATACTATCTATATCTATGTACTCCAAATATACGTAACTGAACTCTAAACTTTGCTCCGCTGCCGTACTTGTGTTGGTGTGGCAGCAACACATACAACTCTGAGGTAATGCGCAGCAGCAGCCGCCAAACGGAGCACGCCAGGGACTGCAAGCATCGGGCAGCGAATTCAGCTCAAATTCGGCTTCCTTTAGAAACTGCTGGGCAGGCGAGCCTTTGATGCGGCACTCTACCGGGTACTGGGCGACGGGTCGGCACATGGTCCGTCGGGTAGGTACAGGTAAAGATCCGTTTCAAGATGACTTGGGGCACTGCTAGGACTTGCGGCATGCCCTACAACTATCCGTGAACTTTGTTGCGAGTTTAGCGCTAGCGACGGTAACGACGCGGCAAAAAAAAACACAAGAACACGAATGAAGCTGAGACAACTACAGTGTATGGCTATCAAGCCCAAGAAAAGTGTTTGTGCGGTCAACTAGTCGCAAGGGCGACGTCTTGCACACCGCCCTTGTAGAGAAACTTCATGAGACTTGCTCTGTTGGTTTCTGGGCAGAACACCTATGGCTCCAGCTGAGCCACCTATAACACTATATTCTATACTTAGCGATGGGAGGTGTGTGGTTTGGAGTTTCGGCGCGCCCTTCTCAACGCGAAGGATGATAGAAGTTCAGCCTGCGTTTCATGCCTGAAGCTGTGAAGATTTAATATAGGGGCCTTAGTGAGTATAGAATAGGGTTTGGGGGGTAGGTTATACAGTTCGTATACCATAATTGCAATAAGGAGCCCCTAAAATAGGATAGGTAACTATTTAGGCCCCTATAGTACCAACTCTGCCAGGCCCAACAATTCTTCCAGGAAGTTAAACAACGAAAGCTGTACATGCCATACCCTCTCAGCCAAGGGTCCAAAAAACTGTGGCGCATCCTGGCGAATCGAATCACATTGCGGGCTTGCCGGAGCCAACCCTACTCAGAGAGTACCATTTGCCTTTCAATTAGCTGGACGATCGTAATGTAGAGGCCTTAATAATTATGTACTACTAAGAATAATAAGGAGCCCTCCACCCCGTATTCGAATTATTAAGGCCCCTACATTACTTAAGCGTCAGGCTTGTAGAGCTGTACACTGAGGCAACTGAATCCAGGAATTAAGTTGAGGGTAGGCCAGACATCTCCCATGTGCGCCTCGTATGTGCAAGAGCTTCTGAAAATCATACGGTGTTGTTACTGCTTGCGTGCGAAAGCTTTGTAAACAAGAACGGATTCAGGGCCTGCTGAAAGGTTGGATATGCCTTACAGCCCTTAGAAACCCTTGCATCCTACATAACCTCATGCGGGGACGGTGGATGATGATGATGTTCGTACGGGGTCTCACATCCAGTCGATTTACTGACCGCTTTGAGACAACTTCACCATGATCTCTAAACTGCATATATTGCTGGATTGTGCTTGCTCATGCGCCCCCGAGTTTTCGTGGAATCTCATGTTCATCCATTCTGCTGACCTTATCCAGGTAATCTCAGATCCCAAACGCATGTAGAAGTTTGCTGGAAAGTGTCCATGCAGATACACCTAGAGGTCTGATGGGGTAGAAGGCGACGGCTCGTAAGCTTTATTAACTTGGGGATAAAGTGGCTTTTAACGCTTAAACATGTGCTAGACAGGAAAGCCCAGGGTTGCTTGATTTGGTATGAGAGAGCTTGTTCATCATCATCATCATAACCATCATCTCATCACAGTAACCATCACCGTCGTCACCAACATCACCACAAGCATCATCATCGTCGTCATCATCATTCACAACACCCAAACCACCATCATCATTATTTTCATCATCACCAGCATCAGCATCATCATAAGCATCACCATTCTCCTCCTTACCATCATTATAAAACATCATCAGCTGCAGCAAGATCGGCATCATCATCATCATCATCATCGTTCTCATGGTTCCTGGTTTACAGGGTTTTGCAATTAGGATTATCATCATCATGATCATGATCATGATCATCATCATCAGGGCAGTTGAAATTTGTCCATGCTTGAAGCTGCTAATTAAATAATAAGCGACCACATGAAAGGAAGTGTTGTGCTCGGGTCCTCTCAAGAGTCAATGGAAACCACCGACAGCCCAAATTCGAAGAATTGCTGTCCACCTGCGCTCTAGACTCACTGGCCCAAAACCCTGGGCTTGGGGAACTTTAAGGTTCTATGGGGTTTATATAAGGGTTGTCTAAGGCTCACTGGCCCACAAAACCCAAAGAAATAAAAGTTGAAATTTTCAGGATCGACTACCTTGTAAGATCCCCAAAAGTTGAAAAGTTGAGTTTACATCCAATAAGTAGATGCAAGACGGAGTCGCCTTGTCAGACCTTTCCGTTGTCTGCATAGCGTCTTGCCACACCGACGTTGCAGTCGTGAACCTGCCGGTGAAAGTAGCAACAGTAATGTCAGTAGTGGGTTCCACGCCCTAAGCTCTCAACACCAGGTCCTGAAACCTGTAAGCCCAAAGCCATCCTAAGCCCTAAGCTCTTTACCCTAAGCACTAACGCACGAAACGCTAAGCTCGAAACTAATCCCTACCGTAACACTAAATAACCTGCCATTTTCTGGACTTATATAAGGAAATCATAATAGGGAGCCTTAAAAACGAAGGGTTTATGGGGTCTAGGTAGACCAGGCTTGCCGGTCCCTTTTTGGAGCTTCCGGCGAGCCTTCGCGGCGAATCGCAGTGATGCCAAAGTCTCCTTGGGCAAAGTCTCTGACCCGATTCGCCCAAAACCCCAAACCTTACGGCATAAGGTTTGGGGATGTAGGGGTTTAGGGTTTGGGGTTCGGGATTACTTATGGCTTAGGGCGTTTAGGATTCGGCCGAAGGCTTGGGTTTTAAGGGACTGGGGTATTCGGGACAATGAATACCGCACGTGCTGCAAGCACACAAATGATCCAATGGTAAAAGGAGGGACCCTTAACAAGGACCCCTAGGTATATACCCTTAATATAGCTATTATATAGGCCATTACAGGGTAGGGGTCCCCATTAAGGGTCCCTCCTTTCCCGCTTTGAAATGAGATTCTGCTTGCGATTACAGGCAAAGGCTGCTCTTATTGCGGCACTTGCGGCCCGAAGGTGTGCAGCAAACGACATACCTGAAACCCCTTATATTGGTAGTTGTCAAAATTATGGTCCCTTTTTGGGTACCCTACATATTAGGTGCCGTATTATATTAAGGACCCACAAGGGGACCCTAATTTTGACAACTTCCCATATACTAAACGATGCACCCTACACGCAGAACTCTACAAACCATGCCTATCAACCTCAGACCCTAAAGCCTAAGCATGGGAAGCCAGTGCAACCTGGTCACGTTCAGATGGCAGAGGCACGGAGAGACGTTGACAAACATGAGGGCCTTTCCATTTAGGTAAGGTTTAGGGGGGGTTATCAAAATTGTTGTGGGCGGAAGCCACTCTACGGCTGTGGTTTTGTTAAAATTTCACTTGGTGAGGTTATATCCTGAGGCTCAAGCAGCACTGCTCCTGACGCAGGCCACCACGACTTCTGCTGGTGTGTTCCGAACTTCTCCAACTTTGGCCATAAACTCCGTTCACACGCTTGAATCCCAACCCTACACCCAAAAGCCAAAATCCTGAATCTTGCCAGGACCCCCCCAAGGGCCCTTTAATGGAGCCCTTGTGGTCCTTATAGTGGGTATTTGGGGTATGATACAGGGTAGTTGGGGGTTCTAGGTCAACCCGTTGACCCGAAACCTGCGCCTTCAAACCCCTAAACTCGAAGCCCTACCATGACCCCGCAGGTACCCTTTAAAGGGCTCCAATATTTCATATTAAGAGGTAATTTGGGACTACTATAAAGGGTAGTGGGTCTAGGTACACCCTGAACCCAGCAACCAAACCCAAAACACAACGCGGCAAGCCAGTGCAAGGCTTGACCTCCTGCCTTCGAGTCTCCAGACAAGGAGGACTTCCTAGGCGAGGCAGGGTAGATAAACAGACCGATAGACATATGGGTGGTTGTCAAAATTATGATCCCTTTTTGGCCCTTGTTATACTACGGCACCTAATATTTATTTAGGGTATCCACAAAGGGACCATAATTTCGACAACCATCCATATCGATAGATGCAAAAAGATAGAAAACTAGACGGATGGCTGGCTGGCTGGACGGATGGATGAGTAGAGAGTCATCTGATGCTAAACTCTAGTTTGAATTATAGAACCATAGGTACATCTCACATAATTCAGTATCGGGACATAACTGAGTCATAGCTTCGGGAGCTAATGTCCTTGCCCTTTTGCGCCGAACCAGAACGGTTCATGGACCCTTACGGCATGGCAGGTTCGAACTGAAGTTCTGGGTTTCGGGAGAGTCTTCCCCTCAACCCGTGCAAGCGGAGCGATTTGAGCTCCTGTGATAAGCTTGAAATTCCAGCAGGAATACTGCGACCATGCAAATGACATTGTGTGTTCAAGCTGTACTTTGCTAGATGGGCATTGGCACCAGCGCTGAACACAATACGGAAGCCCACATGGCTGGTCGCAGTACAATATACGCCAACACCGTACTGTTACCATGTTCACCAAACCCGAATTCCAGCCCAGGCATTTGCAAACGCCGTGGAAAGATTACTCACACTCTCAACCTGAAAGGCCAGGGACCAGATCTAGTCTACTACAAAGGCCTGCATAATAGGATCGATTAGTAGTCCGTAGAACCTTAGAGTTCCTTATAGAGCCAGTGTTTTGGTGTAGAATATACGGGAGTATATCCCAAAACCGCATTCGAATCATTGAGGCCCCTATACTGACCCCCTCCCCCACCCCCCACCCCCTCCCCCCCGGCATAATACCGCTTGGAGTAACCATTGAAGGAACTCTTAAAGGAACCCTATTTATATGAAGGTCCCCATGACAGAGAGGTCGAGGAGCAGAAGCATCGTCAGGCGCGAGTTTCGGTAGGGCACGTGGCCTCCACGCAGGGTTGGTCCCCAAGCCCGGAGCACGAACCCCCTGCGCCCCAAACCCTAAACCCTCCACCCTGTAACCCTAAAACCCAAGACACTTTAATCCAGGTGAGGCGAGTGAGCTTCTGAGGTTCATAGGTGAATCTGTCGGCTCGAATATACGAACTCCAGAAATTTCATGCACTCAGATGTACGCAAGGTTGCCAGGGCCTGTACTCGAAACCATGAGGTCCTTCTAACGAGCTTCAGGATTGTTTTGATAGAGGGTCAGTGTAGGATTTATAGGGTTTGGGGGCCTATCTGTAGTCAGTGTTTACACTTTGGGGTTTATGTCCGGGTTTCGGATTTAGGGTAGCTTCGTCGGACACAGGATCCCAAAACGTGCACCTCACGCCTTTCGAGCCGAAGTATCTTGTTTTGTGTGTATCATTTATGGCTTGGGGGTTAAGGTTGATACGGATGGTCGTAACGACTTCTAGCTATCGCAGTAGTTTCATTGAGCCTATTTCTCGGCTAGCACATGCCCGCAGCCCAAGCTCTCACATGATTTCGGCTTGAGGTGCGGGAAAGTTATCGAACGGCCATCTCAGAACGCCAACATCACCATCTGACTAGACCCTAAGCCTTGGAACATAATATTCCGCATATATACCCCAACCTGTAGAATTTCCCTAAAAACCCTACATGCGCTGAACCCTGTGTACCGCATCTGCATACTACCATTACATATATATACATGTATACACACAAATCAATACAAATGTAAATCAATGTGTATATATATGTATATATATATATATATATGTATATGTGTGTATAATCTTATATATATATATTATTTTCTTCCCTGTGTTATCCAAACCCGAAAGGGCATCACCTGACATGCCTGTGCCATCGCTGCCGCGTCGTGAAAGTGCCTCGATGACATCACCCAGAGCCTGGGTTGTCAGGGTTTGGCGGCTTGACCTTGAAACAGAAACCTACTTGTTCGTAGACCCTCAAGGTTCGATGTGATGGCTGTATAGCGTATAAGCAGAACTTGCACAAAGGCAGGCGATGTTAGTTTAAGGTAGGGTATCTAGAGCCACCAACTACCCTCTATCATACCCCAAATACCCACTGTTAAGGACCATACAGTAAGGGCTCCATTACAGGGCCGTTGGGGGGTCCTGGTATACGGCTTTGGGAAGGTCTGGGGTGTAGGCTAGCAGATCAGGGGGGCGCGCAGGGCGAGCTGGGACAGCACAAGCCAAAGCTAAGACTAAGAACGACCCGAACCCCTAAACCCAAGTAGGTTAGGGAATAGAATTTAAGTTACCATACTTAGAGGTTCATGGGTAGTCATAAGTGGGATTATAAGTCTCCTAATATGGGTTATACGCACAGTTACCCTACTTTTACAATCCTACTTATAACTACCCATGAACCTCCAAGTACCCCCCTTCATTCTGCCTCACGGCTGCCCCGAACCCAGAGTTTACCAACCGGTGGTGCCCGCTCCTGGCCCTTGCGACTACACATTGTGTGCATAAGGCTTGGGCTACGCCTCCCTTCGCCGCAGACTGTCCATGGACTTGTGGACCTTGTGTGCTGATACCGGTGGTTGCAGGCTGATTGCCGTCCTCTCAACCCCTTTGCCTTGCAGTCCGAAGGTCGGCATTTCCACAATGAGCTGTGTCTACCCAGAGTGTGCATGCGGCTCAGGCTTGGGCATCGGGGTAAGGCATAAACCACAACGCCCTTCAAGATACCTCTAACCCCAAGGGTTCAAATAGTACGTATGTACATTGACCTGGATGTAGTCCCTAAATAGGTACTTTGGGGCCTATCTATTTACCATTTGGGTAGCCAGAAAGGAACCGAGGGCAGCTTCAATGTTCTCGCGGCCGGGAGGCGGAAAGAGAGCGGTTGATGAAGCGCGCTTCCTTCATGCGCTCGCCGGTGGCCTATCACGGGTTGCTGTAAGGGTTCCCTAGAGGGCAATACAGGGGGGCCTTAAAGAACCCTTAAAGGAATCGTCAGAGGAATCCTCAATGGAATCCCTGTTCCCTGACGGACGACGGAATGGCATTAGAAGAACACCACAAAGGGGTTTCGGTATGGGTACTGTAAGTATTCTAACATGGGTTCCATCAAACGTGCTACAAGGGTGTTACATGGTGCTACGAGGGTTGAAGAAGGGCCGTACCTCAACAGACTCTATCAAGAGTTCCCTACCACACCATCTTTACCGCTCCCCCCCCGCGCCCCCGCCCCCGCCCCCCACCCCCCCCCCTGCGAAAGACCCCCCCGCGAAAGACGAACTTCGTGAAGCACTGATCGTTGGCTGCGATTGCCTGGGACTTTTCCACGCGCTCGGAACCTGGCTCAGCCCAACAACGGGTATCAGTCTTTCGAAAGCCATTCCGGCGCTATTCTGGGCTTGCCAGAAGCTTCAGGTTATGGGGCTAGCATGTAAGGCTCGAAATGCCAAACCAATATACCAAAAAACATCCATTGTGATCTCTACTTATAGTACCTATATAGTATCCATTGTAGTTCCTTTTTTGGTTTAACCAATTTTATATTAAGGATCCTACAAGGTAACCCCAAAAAGGAACTACAATGGAGACTATAGGTAATGCATGTCTTGAAAATCTCGGTTTGGTTGCTGGTAAAGGGTGTTTCGGCAGAGGCTGTGCCGGGCTTAGGCCTTAGGATTCTGGATTTCGGGCAGACGGATGTGGGGGTTCGGGGTGTGGCGTTAGTGACGAGTGCTCAGTTTCGACTGTTTAGAGGTTCAGTGCCTCTGGATCAAAGAAACATTCTGATTTTAAGGGCTTGAAGGTTTGGGGCAACGTAGACCGCTGATTATTAACCTCCTGGTCCAAATGCCTCAATGCTACGATGCGGAGCATACATACTCAAACGTAGCAGAGACGAACAGCTTAGTTGCTTACTATAGCCCTTTCAGATCGGGGCTCAGTTGAGGATGAAGCCTAAACCCGACACCCTAAATTGCGGACCCCCAGAAGCACATAAGCATAAGCATTTTATGGGGATATCCTTATTGGGCTTCATGATAAGGGGGTTTATATGGGATATCCGTATCCATGTGCTTTTTTGGGGCCCTATAAATGTTCAGGATTCAGATTAGGGTTCGGGATTGCGCACTTAAAGCCTAGGCCTAAGCCCCTCGCAGTATCTGGAGCAGCCCACTGGTCCCCAGAAGTAGCCTTCCATACTGTTTCTTTGTGGGGGACAGGGCCTTGTTGATGAAAGGCCCTAGACCCTTGGACCCTGGTAAACAAAAGCCGGAATAAGAAATGAGGAGTTCCGAAAATAGCGGGCCCTAATATACTACCCTAAATAGTAGGATCCTTATTATAAGGACCGGAAAAATAAGGTACTTCAAACTTCAAATGTTGCTTTCCCCTGGAATTTCTGAGCGTCGGGCCAGCGAGATCCACCAAAGATAGCAACCCCGAGACGGTCTCCTGGCGATCCTGTCCGCGCGGCTAGCAGCGCAGACCAAAATACCATGAGGGTTATACGGGTTGCACTGAACCCTAAACCCTATAAACCCTATAAACCCTATAAACCCTATAAGCCCTGTAAGCCCTATAAGCCCTAAAAGCCCTAAACCCTAAACCCTAAACCCCTAAACCCTAAACCCTAAACCCTGAACCGTTGAGGACTTTGGGTTAAGGGCTTCGGGTGCTGAATGGTTTAGAGTCTAGAGTTTAGCGCCAGGGTGGACATCTGCCTGCTTGATCTGTTTTGAGCATTTTCGGTAGTATTGACAGAGCGCCTACGATTGCACAGTAATGGACTTGAAGCTCTTGGCTGCGCTGCACCCAGACGTCAAGCCTAAGGACGAGACATGTTGGCTTGTGGGTTAGACTCGTTATACTTGCATCGAGTCTGCATGTTGCAGGACTGCATTTGAAGTCCTTCGATGACCTATAATTAATCAGTGTCTAATTATTAAGGCCCCTATGCTGAAAACCCTGCCTGTCTCCTATCATAACGCCAATGGGATCCTTGCACGGAATCCTGAAATAAACGTCTTTCTCCTATTGGCGAGGGGTTCGTGAATTAACCCTCTTGCTTTTTCTCGTGTTGGCAAGCGGTTTTTGGAACAGATGCGCCATGCTGGGTTCTGCAGGCCAGGAGACTCGAAAATTTAAACTCTAATATAATATAGGCTAGGAGCGACTAGGATCCTCAGCAACCTAGGACTAAAAGACTTCCCTTTCCAATGCTGTGTAGTTTCACAGGGAACCTAGGATCACCAAAAAAGGGAAACAAGGGCTCATTGCGAGAGCTAGTCGTGGCTTGCATAGCTAGCATAGGGTTCTGGGCCAGTGCAACTCACCGACTGCACAAGGATAACTATGATTATGCTGGTCGTGAAATGCCTTATAGCGACCCTACAACAGATCGCTGCCTCTGCCCAACGGTGGCCGTTGAGCGACAGCTGGAAGACGGCATGCGACCGGCTCCTTTGGCGCTGGCGGAGTCAAGGGTTGTGGGGTTCAGGATGTATACGATTTATTACAGCTTAGGAAATGGAGTTTAAGTTTAAGTCTTCATGAAGACACAATAACAAGATTTAGAAAGGAGCCTGACTGGCATAGTTCGAGGGTTTGTGACTTTCCCCGGCAGACGGAATCACTTGGCAATCAAAGAACCAGAGCTCGAAACCCAATACGACCGGACCTGGGCCCTTTCGATGCCCTGAACCCTAAACCCCAGCCACATATCATGAACCGGCATTTTTTGGAACAGGAAGTAGCAGCTCACATGGGAGTCTCCGAAAATAGGGGACCCGAATATAGTACCATAAATAGTAGGATCCTTCCTACAAGGACCCCAAAATGAGGTACCCCAAATTCTCGGAAGAACCCTTACAGATCCCTCTAAGGAACCCTTACAGGATCCCTCTCAAGGTACCCCTCATGTTGGGAAACTCCCATGAACCCTAAACCCTAAACCCTAAACCCCTAAAACGTGGGCGAGGGTCGAGCGATCATTGCAAGCCGTAGCTGCGACGTGTCGCTCCTGAGCCGCCTCCCGGGGCTTTGCGCGTTTTTGAGCTAATGGGTTCGGTTTTGGGTTTAGGGCTTAGGGTGTAGGGTTTAGGGCTGTGTCGGGTTTAGGGCTTATAGGGTTTGGGGTTTAGGGTTCAGGGCATTGGGTTTAGGGTTGTTGGCTTGGGATTTCGGTCCTGGTGTTGATTACTGCCAAGCCCAAGCATGGAATCTTGAGCCTTTAGACAGTGAAGCTTGTGAAGTAAGCTGTGAATTCAACAACGGTCAAGATTTGTCAGTTTTTCAAACGATTCAAAAGAGAACAAGGGGCGTCTTCAGTACCTTGCCCGCCCACTGAACTGGCAACCTAGGATGTACCTTTCGCTGCTACTTGCAAAGGTTCCTAGACTATCCCTCTTGTAGATGTATAACTACCAAAATAAGGTACCCTAAAATTTTCGGAAACTGCAGGTATTTTGGCATGGATCATCTGGGGCCCCTGCCCGTGTTGAGTCGAAAGGCTTAGGATTTCGGACTCTTTTCGCGCGTCTTTCTTGTTGGAGAACCGGTTTGCGTTTAGGGTTTAGGGTTGGGCTTAGGGTTTAGGGTTCAGCCATCAGGACTCCAGTTGGGGTCGGGTATCAAGGTTTTCACTGTCGCATGTGATGTGCGAGCCTCATGATTCCAATGCACATGCCGGTACCCTCATACCTGGGGACGTGGTTTTGGTGGAATCTTACCCTAGATTACTCAAGATATATTCAAACGTAATGACCTACCTCATCTCATTTGTGTTGGCAGGCGCCCTCTATGTTGCTTAACTCTCTCGGCCTTCGCGAGGAGGCGATGCACAGCGGCTGCATCGGCCACTTTCCGGGTGACGAACTGCTCCACAGCCTGCTCGCTGGTCTGACATGTCTACTAGAGGGGCCTTAATAATTACACTAGGGTTTGGGGCCCTAGTATACTATAGCTATAAAAAAGATACCCCCCAAAATAGTATAGGTAATTATTTAAGACCCTATAGTAGCTTAGAAGCTCAAGAGTTTATCAGGACCCAAAAGGGCTCCTCAATAGAGGCCTCATGGCCTTGTGGGCCTTAATTCCGGGTATGTGGGGGTGTCTTCGAGGTAGTTGGGGGGGTCCCAGGGGCTTATTTCGGGGTCTAGGGGGTCCCAGCGCCCATTTTGGGATAACCCAGTAGGATCCCGTAAAACGAGAAAAATGAAGTAATCTGGGCCGACAATCTGCACCTTTGAAGCCCCACGCTCACACACATTACGCCCTAAAACGCAAAAGCCAAGGATAATACTCCACAAAGGACCTGTGTAGAGCCTCTATGAGCCTTCGGGCACCCTACAACGAACCTATCAGTCCCTTCTTTTCGGCACCTGACGGGAGTCCGTGCCGCAGGCGGCGCGCTGCTCCTGCGAAAAGCATGCTGATGGAGGCAGCCCTTCGAGGCTTTAAGCATGCATCTGTGATATGTCGCGATTCAGCATACAGGTATGAATATCATCACCCATGGTCACATACAGTAAACGAACACAGAAAGTAACAGTTTAACAAACACTATCAAATACCTTCGTGCGTCTGAGAGTTGATGTATGTATGCATGTATGTATGATACATGCAAACAAGGCCCGCCAACCAAGTCCAAAAAAACACTACATTAGGTCCAAAGCCGTCTGTCCTGAATCTCACATCCCAAACTAGCGTCACAAAGCTGGGGTTCACGGGTGAAAGACTGTTTACGTAGGCTGTCTATAAAGCCTCTGTTTGTGGAACCTTGCCTTGGTCGCTAAATTCTGCGATGCCCCTCAACCCAATAACCTGAACTGGAAACCCTGAATCAGCATTAACCCTGAAATAAACAATCAAAAACTTAAGAAGAGGGCTGCAGTCTTAGGGTGTGCGGTTCAGGATTTCAGGCTGGGCTCAGGCTTCCAAACTGCTGCGCCCGCTTTCAGCTTGGGCTGAGTTCGGGTTAAGGGTTTAGGGTTTAGGGTGAGACATATACTTCAGCCATAAAGGGCGAGACCTAAGAGTAACCTAGGAATAAAAGGGTGGCCTTTTGGGTTTATAAAGGTGGTTATAAGGGAACCTAAACCTTAAAACAAGAAGAGTAAGGGCCTACTCTGGGTCCTAGTAGGGGTTGAAATGACCCCTTTGTCTCGGTGCAGTCATCATCATTCTGTATTTCGGAAGCCCCCCAAAACCCTGCACTCTAACTAAACCCCAAACCCAAAGCAACTGTCGCCGCCTTGCGGGGTGCAAGGATGTCGTGCACGGCCTCGTTGTAGACCTGGGAGACACGGTTTAAGGGTTTATAAACCCTTTAAACCTATAGGGTTCAGGGTTTAGTATATGGGTGGTTGTCAAGATTGTGGTCCCTTTTCGGGTCCCTATAATAGTACGGCACCTGTTATTTAGGGTACCCAAAAGAGGGACCATAATCATGATAACTATCCATATGTAAACCTTGGTCTCTACTACGAAATACTGTAGCATACCCCAATCTTTCCAACTAGTATTATAGCCCTAAACCCTAAACCATATGGGTGGTTGTCAACATCAGGGCCTTATTATAATACGGCACCTAATATTTCGGTTAACCGAAAAGGGACCACAATTTTGACAACCACCCATATGATGAGCAGTGAACAACCAGCCCCGCCTCGAGGAGTGTCGCCGATACGTCAAACTGCCATCCCTTGGCCCGCAGGTCCTCGACCTCAGAGTTTCGGGGTCACGGTTTAGGGTTTAGGGTTGAGGGCTTATAGGGTTTAGGGTTGAGGGTTTAGGGTTGAGGGTTTAGGGCTGAGGGTTTATAGGGTTTAGGGTTGAGGGTTTAGGGTTGAGGGTTTATAGGGTTTATGGTTGAGGGTTTAGGGTTGAGGGTTTATAGGGTTTAGGGTTTATAGGGTTTAGGGTTGAGGGTTTAGGGTTGAGGGTTTATAGGGTTTAGGGTTGAGGGTTTAGGGTTGAGGGTTTATAGGGTTTATGGTTGAGGGTTTAGGGTTGAGGGTTTAGGGTTGAGGGTTTATAGGGTTTATGGTTGAGGGTTTAGGGTTGAGGGTTTAGGGCTGAGGGTTTATAGGGTTTAGGGCGAGGGTTTAGGGTTGAGGGTTTATAGGGTTTGGGGTTGAGGGTTTAGGGTTGAGGGTTTAGGGCTGAGGGTTTATAGGGTTTAGGGTTGAGGGTTTAGGGTTGAGGGTTTATAGGGTTTATGGTTGAGGGTTTAGGGTTGAGGGTTTAGGGCTGAGGGTTTATAGGGTTTAGGGTTGAGGGTTTAGGGTTGAGGGTTTATAGGGTTTAGGCATTAGGGTTGAGGGTTTAGGGTTTAGGGTTGAGGGTTTATAGGGTTTAGGGTTGAGGGCTTGGGGTTGAGGGTTTACAGGGTTTAGGCCTTAGGGTTGAGGGTTGAGGGTTGAGGGCTTAGGGTTGAGGGTTTAGGGTTGTGGCTTTTAGGGTTTAGGGGTTAGGGTTTCGGGGTCAGAGCTTTTTCAGGTTCCGGGTTTCACATGCTTTCGAGTAGTTTGATGCCGCGAGTTTAGGTTCGGAAAGGTTCGAATTGCAGGGTTCATGGTCGAAACAAATCACAGCGGTATAGGGCCCTTGGCGTATAACCGTGTGCTGTGACCCCTGCTGTATGGACAACTGCGATGGGATCCTTGCTCACATGACGATGTTTTATGGACGGGAGTGTTCTTTACTTAGAAAAAGGCCTCTACACAGTACTCACTATGGAATTGTAGGCTTTAACCTTAGAGGACTGTTGAACGAACATGGGGATGGTGACCTGCTTGGTGAGTACCCATAGGCCCCAGAGTAGTTCCTTTTTGGGATTACCTTAGAAGATTCAAAAAACCCAAAAACGAACTAGTTTGGGGCCTTAGGGTATGCTATCAGACACAGATTCCATCCCCCTTTTGTTCAGAAACGCTCACGGGCGATCTTGAGTGCGCACGAAACACTTGAGGTTACCCACTTGGCCTTACTGACCCCTGGACAGTATTCTTTAGGAGGCTTTCGGGCACAATCGCCCGACTCAGCTTGAATCGTCCTGCCAACTGCTGCAAACATACCGTGTGTGTTCGAAGCTAATGCTAAGTGCCTTGAACATATAAGCCAGAACATGAGCCTTGATACCCTCGGCCCGAGGCATAGGACATGCACTTTGGACCCCTTTGCGAATATTTAATGCTTAGTATGCTTGGAGATCCCTAAACACGAAACCCAACCCCAAATCACTGAACCTTTGCATGCGGGGGCCTCTTGAAAGATGAGATCCACGGTGCGTGGGATTACGCCTGTCAGGCATTCCAGAAATGCCGAAGACATGGGGCTTCATCAAAACTCTCGGCATTTCTTGGTCCCCTGAACCATGGGGAATATATACAAAAACACAGACCCCAAAAGGGCCCATAATTTTGATCAACCTCCACATAGGTTTTCGCGGGCTTAGGGTTTTCTTTCGCCACCAGGCTTTAAGTTCACCTGGGGAACCCGCTAGCCCGAAATGTTAGGCCCTTACACGGTTTAGGGTTTAGGGTTTAGGGTTTTAGGGGTTTAGGGTTTAGGGTTTAGGGTTTTAGGGGTTTAGGGTTTAGGGTTTAGGGTTTTAGGGTTTAGGGTTTAGGGTTTTAGGGTTTAGGGTTTAGGGTTTAGGGGTTTAGGGTTTAGGGTTTAGGGTTTAGGGTCTTGTACCATTTCAACATCTGCGCATGAACGACTCGAATGTCGACTGATGCCCCTTTGCCAGCAAAGTCTTCTTCGAGCTGAATCGCCTCTGCAAGAGGTGACAAGCTCCATTGCCAACTAGGGAGGCACGACGAAACAAGCGAGTCCCGATCTCGTTCCCTCTTCGATGAATAAGGCGTGCGACGTTTCAAAGTGGGTGTTGATGACTATCAATCATGCACCAATAGCATCGTGGGAGCGGCCCAAGGAAACCATGCTGATTACAAATTATATATGTGTAAATAGACCAACGAAATAAGGGTTCCTGGCTTGGGGGAAAGTTAATCAATCAGATTCTACTTAGGAAGTGTGGGGCCGTAAGGGGAGCGACGAAGCTTAACACGGTATCAGCATACACACACAGAATCGAAGCATTGACGATTGATGATGTACGAGGCGACATATACTATACACCGATGAATATTCGTTGCCGAAAAACTAATTCCAACAAGGCCTACAACCCTACTGTAAGCAATCCAGGCAACTTGACAGTGGCACAAAAGCCGTATGGGAGTAATAGCATGCACAATGAATGTTCGTGTAATACTGCCAACGCTACTTTTGCAACGGCGCTTAGTTTGGAGTGGTGGCCAATAACTTTGGAAACGCATCCAGGTAGGGCTTCCCGGAATGGAAGGTTTAGGGTTCGGGTTCAAGCGGTGCTCATGGAACGTAGGTATGGGTTTGACGTTCCACGACTGCCATAACTCTCTTCTTCAACAACCGGGCCACAACAAGTTCAAACTTTCTAAGACAGAGCTAATATATAAGGCCAAAAAGTTTAAAGCTCCCCCGTTCAATATCTAAGATAACTTTGGGGACGCTCATCAGGTCTAGGTCCTGCGAAATGGTGGTCGTAGTGATGCCGTAGGCGTAGTCGTAGCAGTTGCTGTTGTCATGATCGCCATCGTCGCAGCAGTTGATGTCGATGTCGTCGATTTCGTCGTCGCAGTAGCCGTCGTCGTAGCCGTGGTCGTCGCAGTGCCAGTAGTAGTGGTAGTAGTGGTAGTAGTAGTAGTAGTCGTCGTAGCAGCAGCAGCAGCAGCAGCAGCAGCAGTAGTAGTAGTAGTAGTAGTAGTAGTAGTAGTAGTAGTCATACCGATTCAAACCCACTTCAAGGAAGCTCCAGAAGCACTTTCAAACTGAAACCCATCTAAGACCGATCCTGAAATCTTCAAGCTAAACCCAGACCCTGAAGGAAAAACTGCCTTATCCCATCATTGGCTCGTCTACAAAATCATGTTCCCAAAAGCTCTGTCAGTCAAAAGCCAGGACACAGAAAGTGACCCTCGGGAACTGCCGGCTTAACTGGGCCTCTGCTTTCGGCGGATCCCTCGCGATTCTCCGGCGGTCCATCCATGGTGTGTGTTTTGCCACCTGAGCAGGCCACGCGCGGGGAATGGGCTATGGACGTATATCGAATGAGTAGATATCAAATCATGCACGTGGTCTTCGACGATTTAGGCGCTGCAAAGAGCACTTCGACTTCGTAAACGATGTACGTGTCAGTGACGACATGCGGACAAACATGTCTACATGAACACGCATCGAATTGAACAAGCATTGCACATCAGTCTTTATGTCCAACCGTTTTGCTCCTGGTCGCAGACAGCCTGTCCTTGTCTTACTTCACCAGTAAGCCACAGAAATAGAAGGTTAACCTTTCAGGTTTCTACGAGACTGTAAGGCTATAAGAGCCCAGCAAGGCTCAAAGGGCATTGGGGAACTCAGTTGTTGCTCTGGTTGAAGTTAACCTTAATCCCCCAAAGGGTCCTAAGTACCTACCTACATGGTAGGTGTTCTAATTTTTGAAAGTACTAATGATTTGGGGAAGAATCCCCCATAACAGTACCTAGGACCCTAAACCCCCTAAACCCTAAACCTGAAAACCACAACAGTATCTAGGACCCTAAACCCTAAACCCCTAAACCATAAACCCTGAACCCCTAAACCATAACAGTACCTAGGACCCTTTAGGATCCCCAAACATGCAGCCTCCCGTCTGCCCATAAGCGAAGATGGCCACACGGTACCCGTCCAGGGCCTCAGGGCACTTTTCAAAGGGATCCAAGGGAGGGATGAAGGTAGGGTTTGGGTTTAGGGTTTGTGTTTTTGTTTAAAGGTTTTAGGGTTTAGGGCTCAGGGTTTAGGGTTTAGGGCTCAGGGTTTAGGGAAGGTCGGTGGGTTAATCCCAGGTCAGGGTCCTTATTATAGAGAATGCTGAATCCTGCCTGCCTTCGTCCTACTTTTGCGGTCCCTGAATCTGAGAGCCCACAGCAGCTCCCTTTCAAGAGATTGCGGGGGATGGCGGGTTAAGGGTATATCGTGCTCATGTCGATGCCTCGATGTAGGAGAAGTGATTTGGGTAGGTGTCAAAATTATGGTCCCTTTTTGGGTAACCTAAATATTAGGTGCCGTAGTATAATAAGGACCCAAAAAGGAACTAAACTATGATTTTGACAATCACCATTTAAGAGGGCACAGTTTCCTTCTTCCAAAATTGGAGCTTCGGGTGCTTCGGATTTAGCTCTCACGGTAATCTGCCGCTTTGGGATTCTCAGAACCCGTCAACAAAGACTTGCTTTCCTCTCCCTCAGATCGAAGACCCTTGATTGGAGGATCATGGGTAGTTACAAGTGGGGTTATAAGTCCGCGAATATGAGTTATAAGTCATAAGTATAGCTATCCTACTTATAACCCCACTATGAATGAATAACAGCCCATGAACCTCCAAGTAAACCCTTTAAGGAACCGTGCGAAACCCTTCCAGACCCCCTTTAAGGAGCCCTGTAGTAACAGCACCTGCAACTTCAGCTTGAGATCTCAAGGCCAAAGGCTGCAGAGAGGTGACAAACAAGCTTCTGCTTCGAAATAGGGGGCTAAACAATTAGAACAGGGTTTCTGAAAGGGATCTAGCAGGGCTTCTACAAGGCTTCTGTAAGGGTACTACATTACACTCAACCTTCAAAACAACCAATGTCTCATTTTGGACCCTTAATCCTACACCCTAATTAAATCCCCAAACCCTAAAATAAGACGCAGAGGCTCTCGACCCGGTTGCAACTGAAAAGCCTAAGCCGAAAGCTTCGTAACCTTCATCTTCTGGGGGGGATGGCACCATCCCAAATCCTACAACCCTAGACCTTGGACCTTACAGCCACCAGCCTGAACCGTAATGCAGTGGCCGCGATAATCAGAATAGAGTATTCTGTGCTATAAAACTCTGGGGACTGGAACTACTCGGACCTCTTGCGTGCACCTCCTATCTCTGAGTCTGCCGCGGACTGGACCAACATTGCAAGCTCCTGGTCGGAAAGCCCTAAGCCCTAAACTCTACACCCTAAACCCTAAACTCTGCACCCGAAGCCCTCAACCTTAAACCAAGTTTAGTAGGCAGGCGGACCAATGAGTTTCAGCATTGGGACTTTGGAATAGATTGATAGCAGGGCCTATAATTGGATGCCACTGCGAACTGTCCAAACCTTTATGTTTCAGGCTTTAAGATTTGGTTTGGGGCTTAGGATTTAGGCTTGAGGGTTGGCTGTGTAGGGCTGAGTGAGGGATCACATGTCGTAGGGTTATGTAGGCTTCAGGGATCCCGAGATTGTAGAGCTTTGGAGGGAGTACGAAATGTTCGTATGCAGCACAGCCGACATCTTCCGACATCCTTGCAGTTAAATGGTCACAGGGCCATAGGGACAGTCCAGGGCTTGCAGATTTATGGACTTTGGGCTCTCAGGGTTTGAAAAGGGGCTCAAGAATGTCTCGGGGCTGAAACGATGCAAAGCCGAAAGACACAAGAGTTGCATCCAGAATGACATTTGACCTTCAATCTGCAATCCTGCGGCATGAAACTTTCATTACGTCGTAACAGACACGAGGTGTTGTAGCGGACCATGACCCCGAATGACTTGCCTCAACAACATGGGACAAGTTTTGATTTGCTAAAATTTTCACGCTGCAGGATAACAAACGCGTGCCTGCTCCTATATAGGAGTTAGGATTGAAAGACCCTTCGGGATATAAACCCTCTCAACAATGTCCCCATTAAGAGAGCCAGAAGTAGGGAACGCCTTAAAGGGGTTCCATATGTTTTCTGTATAAGTAATTACATGTAGCCTTGGTGTTAGGATATACACCCCAAAGCCATAAACCCAATCTCCTCGAAGACTTCAGCTTGAGTCGATCTGGGCTCAAAGACATGGTCCTGAGCTTCCGGGGCAACGATGGGTTTTCGCAGACAACTAGGTGTCTGTAAGACTTCAGTAGGGTCTTAGGTTTCAGTACTTCTGTGAGCTTCCAAAGCTTTGCTTGTTTTAGGGATTTGACAGAGTTGTATATGGGACCTATAGGACCTATAGGATTCTGTAACACCTCCATAGGGTCTGATGTCTCCTTATGCCTTTCCATTGGGCTTGAAGGTGTTATACGGCTTATGTACGGTTTATTGCTGCTCCATGGTAGTTGCAAGTTTTTTCGGTGTTGCGGTGTTGTTCATACGCTTGAAAGTTCTATGGGGTGTGCATTGAGCTTGGGGCTTCTAAGACTACGGGTCTCAATGAGGTTTCTGGATTCAGGGCTTAGGATTGTAGGATTGTAGGAGTTTAGGGTGTCGCCAATCCAGCAGGCTGCTGCATAGGTTTAAAAGGCTTGCCGTGGCTTAGGCATAGGTGGGTCCTTAGCGAGGGCCCTAAGAAATGTGTCTACAGGATCCTGGTCTTCCGGACACTTGGCTAGGTTTCTGAGCAACCCCTTTATAGTAAGGCTACCCTTTTTCCTACTATTCGGTTTTAATAAGGGGACCTTAAACTAAAGAGGGCAAAAGGGCACTACTCAGGAACCTAGGGAGACTTGGATACTTAGGCTTTGCGTGCTGAGTTTGCTCTTCTTGTGTTGCGGGCTTTGGTGTCGGGGCTTCTTGGGGTCTCGATCCTGATACCTGAACTCCGAATGCTGTGCTGCTCAGTGCTTTTGCGGGTTCGGGGTTCAGGCTTGTTGCTTCTCAGGAGTTTGCTTAGGTTCAGGGTTCAGGGTTTTGAATCTTGTGGTCAGTTTGGGTTTGGGACTAAATAAGGCTTCGCGCTTTATTTGCAAGCCCCTAGGACCCGAAACCCCAAGCCCTAAAACCCTAAACCCTACAGCCCAGACCCTAAAGCCGAAACTCTGAACCAGGAAACCTCTAGACCCCCGAGCCCCTGACTCCATACACCTGCCTGTTTGCTGGACCCTCGCTGACGTACCTTTGATAAGCATTGCTTCAGGCATTCACAATAAAGAGCCCTGTACAAGTATAGGTTCGCTAGGGTCCAGGTTGCGATAGCTAATCTCAGAAAAAGAGGGGTTTACGTATCAGCGGTGTGCATTAGCCGCTGAAACCTGTAAATCCCCAAATTACACCTTTTAAATCCCTTCTAACTTTCTTCCAAAGAACCTGATAAACAATTCTAGCAAGAGCCTCACAAACAAACTTTAACCTTCGTAAATCAGCCAAGGATCGAAATTGAAGTCCCAAGTGGTCCTTTGCTCGGAAAGTCCTGCAGTAATTGTTCAATGAGGGCCGCGAAGGCTTAGGATCTATAGAGTTATGGATTTCGGGTACAGTCTTAATTTCTTTGCAGGCTTCAAGCTCCTGATGTCGGGTTCGGTAGATGTTGGTCAGGATTTACAGCATTCCTCACGAGCTTAGGCTCGATTCGCCGTCCTGTGACGCTCTTCATCACCTCGGAGCGCACAGTTATCCGCTGCTCGTCAAGGCAGTCCACCTGCCGACACTTTATTCTAAGGCTCCGTGTGTTCATACAACTAGTATATACTTGGGCCTTACAGGGGCTCCTACAAGCAATACAGGTACACGGAGCCTCAGGGTTTGAGGGTTTAGGGGCGGGACTTGGGGTGTGCAGAGGTTAAGAGTTCAGGGTCACCTAAGGCTAGCTTTGACTTCTGGCGGCTTCGGGTTTAGGTGTTAGGGTGTCTAGGTTGCTCAGTAACCCCTTGATAATGCGGGTACCCTTTTGCCTAACATTCAGTTTCAATGAGGAGACCCCAAAGTAAAAAGGGCAAAAGCGTACTTCTCAGGAATCTACCCAAAGGCTCCATGTACCTTTGTAGTAGATACCTAAGCCCCAAAGTAGTCCCTATATAGGTACTTTAAGGCCTAAGTATCTACTATAAGGGTACATGGAGCCTTAGGGCTTTTGGTGTTCGGGTCTTTGGGCTTCAGCCTCCCAGGCGCTGAGTTCAGAGGTTCACGGAACCACAGACCAAAGGCTCCGCATAATATAGTCTGAGGGGCCATAAGCGTTGAATTATGAGACCTTAAGGGATACTTTCAGGAATTATGAGACCTTAAGGGATACTTTC